GGGTCCACAGGTCTTCATCCTTTTCCCTCTCCCCCCCCCCCACCCTGGATCCGCCCCTAGATTCTGTATAAACGTGGCTTATTTGCAATGGATGTTCCTAGCCCACTTATACTATAATTTCTTTTATCATGGAGATACCAAATAGTCATACTCAGTATGAATGTGTTATATGTATTTTCTTTTTTTAATTTGACATGAACATAATATGCACAACTTAAGCCAACCGTCTGATTTGGTTAAATTGATTTCGCTTGATGTAATGTGTTATGATGTATGGTACTTTCAAGTCAAACAGGCAATTACAATGCAAATGCTTATATGGAGTTATATCCTTTGGCCTGTATTTATCTGTAGTTCATTGTGCTATTGAACAATTGTTGGTAATTTTGGTGCTTTTTTAATGTATACTGTAGTTCAATTCATGGTGGTTGCATTCGAGTAACGGAATAAATCAAATGCTCTTCCACATTTAGTGTCAATTTATTTTATTTTTTAGCTGTCTAAAACAAAAGTAGCAAATTTTAGTGTCCTACAAAGTGACAGTGAAACTGACCAGAACACTTTTGAGTTATATTTGTATAGACGAATAGACTACTTTATGTATTTTTACATTGGCATAGCGTAAACAAAGAGCGCTCTCGGCTGGCGGCAAAACATTTGCGATATAGGACACTGGTTACGTTTGTTAGTTGTGCCTCTCGCTGAGGCGAGCGTCATGACCATACAGAGTGAGAGGCTTCAATAACGCCAGATAATTGAATATATATACACTGTATATATACTGTCTCTTATACACATCTAGATAACTTTAAATATATACAGTAGTTATGGCTGCTGTGCTTGGTTCAATAAAAAAAATATAAAAAAACCTACAAGGAATTGGAAATCAAGCAGAAAAAATCATGAGAGAGGAAAAACAGTTGAACAAAATTTGCCTGGAAAGAATAGTAGATAAAATGAAATGTATAATATGAACGATATTACTCATCCTTTAAATAATCTCTATCAATGGTTAGCATCTGGTTAGGAGGTTAAAATCCATCACCTGCAAAACTAACCGTTATCATAATCCTAAAGCTCTGTCCAGGCTAACAAATTTTATATGACAAGAAACTGATGTATGCCCATATATAGTCATGATATGCCTATACATGGTCATGATGTGATGTCACCATGACCACATTTCGTCATGACACATCTTTTTGTCAAAAAAAATTGATAGTCTAGACAGTGCTTAACGAATTATCATAATTCCATACGAAGTTTTAATAGCAGCCAGTAAATTTAAAATTACTGAATATGCATAAGTTATTTATAAAGTGTAATTGTCGTGTTTTAGTGTTTTTTTATTTTTTTATTTTTTTTTTATTTTTGAATCTGTATCCCAAATCTGCAACCCTCTCACTATCCAGGAGAAACATTAGACCAGGAGACCTATAAGACACTTGCAGATCTAACACCCCGGCATTTTCTCATAAATACTTTATTCGAGTGAAACGCTTACACATATACAAATTATGCTGAGTACACCACAACATAAATAATAGTAAACTTGCTCAAAAATAGGAAAATGGTAGTATGATACCTTGAAGTCTAAAGGTATGATATTCGCCTTGATAGCGAGAGGTTGCATGTTCGAATAATCCTCGCCACGCCAGAGATCTTTTTTTACAACAGAAACAAAGAGAACTTTTCGGGAGGAAATATAAATCAGGCTAAAATTACCATAAAAATAAAATAATAAGCCAAAAATAATATATATAGGTCTTACAACTTTACCTAATTATTACCAGCGATATCTGAAACAAAAATAAATATTTAAATATTTATCATAACATTTGGCCAGTTACGAGTTTGCCATTTTTTTTTTTTTTTTTTTTTTTTTTTTTTTGTATGAGTCTGCCAATATTATTAAATTGATTAATGGATTGATAAGTTGGCAAAGAGGTTTTGACCGATTTTTTATTTTTTCCTTCAATCTTGATGTCAATCTCTGTATTTTTGTAATATTATATTTTTAACTTTTTCAATTGATACGCAATTCAGCCTTGTGCTGCAATGTAGGCCTATGCATTTTATTTTTACTGGAAAATTTGAATACCTCAATGCAAGTCATCATCATGCTACTGAACGTT